AAAAAAAAAAAAAAAAAAGAACAGACTAAGAAAGCACTCTGCCATTGAACTATATCCTGAGCCCCAAATACTACCTTTTAATTTTTAATTCCCAATCACTTGACTATAAGTTTTACTAATATTTCTTCTTCCTAAAGTGATCCAGAAGAAATTAAGAAATAATTCAGGGTTGGGAATGTGTCTTAGTGGTAGAGTGCTTGCCTAGCATGCACAAAGCCCTGGGTTTGATTCCTCAGAATCACATAAACAGAAAAAGCCAGAAGTGGCACTGTGGTTCAGGTGATAGAGTGTTAAGCATTGAGCAAAAGAAGCTCAGGGACAATGCCTAGGCCCTGAGTTTAAGCCCCACGACTGGCAAAAATAAAATAAAATGAATACATACATTAAGAGGGAAAGAGCCCTTCTGGGAAACTGAGGCAAAACATGGACACATCAGGCGCTCCGGAGCTGTGGAGCCTGAGGTATAAGAATGTACAGCTAAGCCGGGCGCTGGTGGCTCACGCCTGTAATCCTAGCTACTCAGGAGGCTGAGATCTGAGGATCGCGGTTCAAAGCCAGCCCGGGCAGGAAAGACCGTGAGACTCCTATCTCCAATAAACCACCAGAAAAAACCGGAAGTGGCGCTGTAGCTCAAGTGGTAGAGCGCTCGCCTTGAGCTGAAGAGCTGAGGGGCAGCGCCCAGGCCCAGAGTTCAAGCCCCACAACCGATAAAAAAAAAAAAAAAAAAAAGAATGTACAGCTAGGGGCTGGGAAGGTGGCTCAGTGGTAGAGTGCTTCCCTTGCATGCACGAGGCCCTGGGTTCAATTCCTCAGCACCATATAAGCAGAAAAAGCCGGAAGTGGCACTATGGCTCTGGTAGAGCACTAGCCTTGAGCTGAAGAGCTGAGGGACAGTGCCTAGGCCCATAGTTCAGGCCCCATGATTGACCAAAAAAAAAAAAAAAATACAGCTAGAACAGACAAAAGAACTCCCCTTCTCTGTGGGCCTGTTCTCTGAGATGCCTGTCCTGCTTGGGAGCAGGTCTGGAGGCTAGCCAAGAAGTACCAGACCAACTCAACCAGATGTTCCACATCCACTGTCCCCCCCCGCCAATAAGCAGCGACTTGCCTCTGGTGGCTTCTGAGACAATGAGACTAAACAGCTAGTTTTTCATTTATTTCCATTTCATCAGCTCACAGTTGAGTAGTCAAATGGACAATACAGCAAAAACTAGTGTTCACTATACTTTGTTAGAAAGTCAAGGCAGCCACCATTATGACAGAGATGTAGCATGACATAGGATGGAAGCCATCAATGTGATTACTCTTAGATACAAAGAATTTTCAACTATTGTCCCTTGAATAAGAATAGGAAGAGATAATTTAAAGAAAAAGTTTGCTCAAAACACACAGCAGAGTATGACCCACACACAGCAGCTTGTTCACACAGAGTCATACGGACACTGCACTTGCTAATCTCTAAATTCTTGAACATACCTCCATAATCATACTGGCTGGAGTAATAATTTGCATAGTAGTCGCTCTGACTGCTCCACCCACTCCTGGAATTACCATATCCTTCAGGATACCCTTGCCTGAAAAAACACAGAGCTGTTGAACACATTACCTACTTAAGTGTGGCAAAATGTCAGTAGAACACATCATACCATGGCAGCGAGCACTTACCAAAACCATCTGGCTGTGAAAAAACTCTAATTACAAGACCAAAATGGTAAGAGAGCTGAGGTTATGAATTTCCCACCTTGTAGCTAACTGAATTTTAGCTCAACAAAATCACTACTTGACAGTACTAAGAAAACTAACACATTTTTTATCCTTAGTGCTACATCCTAGGAGTTTTTAATATGTTTAGCAGAATGAAACAACATAAATTGATTTTAACCAACTAAAAACGTCAACTTTAGTGGGGCACCTGTGACTCACACCTGTAATCCTACCTACTCAGGAGGCAGAGATCTAAGAAGCACAGTTCAAAGCCAACACAGGCAGGAAAGTCTGTGAGACTCTTATCTCCAACTACCTACCAGAAAACCAGAAGGGGCTGTGGCTCAAAGTGGCACAGTGCTAGCCTTAAGGGAAAAAGCTAAGGACAGCACCCAAACCCATGACTGACAAAAAAAAGTCAATTTCAATAGTTGTTAGGCCCAACCACTGGTGTGGACTCCATGTGACCTTAAGAGACAGAAGATAACTATGAGCAGAGCTGGATCCCCTGAGTCTGATGTACATCTGCATTCTATAGGCCTAGACCTACTCATGGCCCTAATCTGAGCCAAAGAAAAGCTGAAATTTAAGCCATGTGCTTACAGGCTCTTGCCTGTAATCCCATCTTTCAGGAGGCTGAGATCTGAGGACTGTAATTTGTAACCAGCTCAGGCAGGAAATCCATGAGAATCTCATCTCCAATTAACCACCAAGAAGAAAGCTGGAAGTGGAGCTGTGGCTCAAGTGGTAGAGTATTAGCCTTGAATGAAAAAGCTAAGGACAATACCCAGGCCCTGAGTTCAATCAGTGTGCAAAAAAACCCCAAAAACCAAACCAAAACAAAAAAACAGCTGGGTACCGTTGGCTCACACCTGTAATCCTAGCTACTCAGGAGGCTGAGATCTGAGGATCACAGTTCAAAGCCAGGCAGGAAAATCATGAGACTCTTATCTCCAATAAACCACAGAAAACCAGAAGTGGCGCTGTAGCTCAAGTGGTAGAACACTAGCCTTGAGCTGAAGAGCTGAAGGACAGTGCTCAGGCCCAGGGTTCAAGCGCCATGACCAACAAACAAACACCAACAAAAAACAAAGAACAAAAGTTGAGATTTAGAGCTCCTCTAGTACTCTTATAATTCTTTTTCTGCTGGTTCTAAGGCTTGAATGAACTCTTTCACTATCTCCCAGAGTCCTTCTCTGTATATCTATCTCTGGCTCTTGCTCAATGCTAGGGATAGAATTCAGAGCCCCACATAAGTTAGGCAGGTGCTCTACAACTCATCTACAGCTCAGCACCTCAATTAAAGAATTAGATCTCTAGAAACAGTATCAATAGCATTGAACTTCATAAAGAACCACACATGTGGTTCAGTGTCTGTCTTTGGGGGAAGTACACTGAAGTCAGTTAAACAGGCAAAGATTCACAGCAAAGCCTTTGCTCTTCAGATAAGCCACAAAACCTTGAAGAACTAGCACATGGAACCTTTTGAAAACAAGCACTGAGGCTTTGTACATTAGTAACTGGATGTTCACACTGCTAAGCTTATGAGCAGTGTGTCCTCAGGGCAAAGCTCACTCCTATGAGCAACATTCAAAACTCTGGCAAAGAATGACCACAGGAGCTGAGGTGGCAAAGTCAGAAGTGACCGGGACCCACACCCATTGTTTGCTCAAAGCCACCAATGGCCCTGCATAGACATAGCTCAAAAGCCGACTCTGGAGCTCTAAGACACAGTGGACTTTGACCTAGCTTACAGGCTTACTCAGAGGGCACACACCGTGGTTCTTTCCACATCTCTATTGCATGATTACAAAGCAGAGCCATGGCTAGCAGTAGTACAGGAAATGCAGGCCAGAAACCGATGTAACCCTTCTAGAAAGGAGGCAGAGCCAGGTACAGAATACAGGTCCTATATTCGGGAGTCAGCCTGACAGATCCATCCACAAATTACTCCATCTTTGTGACTAGTCTTCCTGGGTGTCTGAAGAATTCAGAGGAAGCTGAACTAGTTAAAAGAGCCTTGTGCGGCCAGCAGCAGACTGCCAAGACAAGAGGCGCCTGGTGACAGGGAATCACTTGTCCCTAAATGGCACAGAAGCTGCTTCTTTGTGGCTCTGAATAAGGTCTGGCCTGACCAGCAGGTGGGGACAAATGGTAACTGACCAATTCTATTGGGACTGCACGTGAAAATATACCAACATACGTAAGTTTGTACAATCCTTTACAGACACAGAATGTTTCCAGTCATCAAGTTACTATCATGGCCACACAAACACCTGTCAGGCATTAAAGTAAAGCAGCAGTGTGGATGTGTTCCCACCTGGCTGTGGGCCGGTCAGAGCAGTGGCTTGCTCGGGAACTGGGCCGCTCAGGATCTGGGTAGCGGTAGTTCTCTGTGTAAGCGGAGGCTGAGCTGTCATAGGGCCTGTATCGAGGATCATACAGGGCGTAGACGTCCTGTGGGAAGGAGGTTTAGGCAGTTAGACTCCAAAACAAGCAGTCAGTTATCGAGCATCCAGCTTGAGCTTGTGATTTCAGATGATCACTCTCCAAAAGCAGGACTGTAGGCGGGCTTCCTTCATGTGAACAGAGAGACAGAGGGTCGACCTCAGGCTGTCAGCCCAGGCCTTGCTAAGACAACCCAGACAGATCCACAAGGCCTTGCCAGCGGGCAGCGACTTTCTGAGAGCACCATGAGGCGTGTGCCTCTTCAAACCTCCACTGACAAGGCCTGTGATCATTCATGTCCTGCTTTAGTCACCACTCAGCCAAGCAAGAGGACCAGTGACCCATTGGAACCTGCAAGTCATAGGTAGCCTCACTACAGAACCATGGCATGAGCCTGTGTCTGAACATGAGAAAATCTGAAAGGAGGTAAGACAAAATACATGTGAGCTAGAACTCATCCTCCTGTGTATAACTGCTTCAACTCTGCCACTGCCCGGCAGATAATGAAAAAGGTTAAGTTTCTGACCACCACTGGAAACGACAGCAACATAAAGAAAAAAATGTGCTCATATAAAAGTATTTCCACACTTCAGTCCCAGTAAGAGCCCACAGCAGCCTGTGGCCCCTCTCATTCTCCTGTCCCCAGGTCAAGCAGATGTGGGCTCCGTGGTGTGGAAATGCTGTGTAGGCTCCTTTCTAGAAAAAGATTCCCAGGAAAGACTTACAAGATGTCTAGCATTACTCCTGTTGTTTCTTAACGCTGGCTGGCTTGGGGGGTTCCAACTATGTAAAACCCAGGCAGGGTGGCATACTGAGCTTTTAAGAGGCTGAGCCCAGGAACCAACCTTCGCTAAACAATAAAACATATAAGAAGCTGGGTGATGATGGTTCACACCTGTAATCTTAGCTATTCAGGCTGAGATCTGAGGATCACAGTTCAAAGCCAGCCCAAACAGAAAAGTCCATGAGGCTCTTATCTCCAATTAGCCACCAGAAAACCAGAAGTGATGCTGTGGCTCATAGTAGTAGAGCACTAGCCTTGAGCAAAAGAGCTCAGCAACAGTGCCCAGGCTCTGGGTTCAAGCCCCAGTCTGACAAAAAAAACAAATCAACAAACATATGAGCTTCCAGAGGATAAACTTTGCAACACAGAGCTCTAATTCTGCACCAAATAGACAGGTGTTACAAGAAAGGGGCCTTTTTTTGTCATATACAATGGGATGCTGTGTTGTATTTTTAAAAAAAAAGTTAGTAACAGCAATTCATTACAAGCAATTCAATGAGCTGCTGTTGGTAGGAGCCTAAGGGAAGAGCTGGGTGGTAGCCAGAGAGAACTTTTCTCAGGTACACTGTGAAGGTCTGGAGAGAAGAAATACAACGAATCAAAGTGAGGGCAGGAAGATGGCTGAACACTGGCACTCTTACCTGGTAATACAGGGAGGCTGTCCCAGGATCAGATAGATAGAGTGAGGGGTACTGGGACTGGTAGGCATCGTACAACGGTCTGTAATAGTAGTGGGATGCCAGGTCTGCAGGTGGTGGGCCAAATGCATTTGGAGGTGGTGGGTGCAGCCAGGGCTGCTCTGATCGTGGGGCTGCCTGGCTTGAGCTGGTGGACACAGCCGATGCACTGGAGGACTGAGGTGGCGGAGGCAGCAGCTGCTGGCCTGTGTCAGCTGGAGCTGGACTTGATGGCTGGGCTGAGCTTTGGGACCGTCCCTGTGCGGATGAACTTTCTGTATTGGAAGGTTCTGAACATGGTGCCTGGGGCACCTGGGGAGAAGTCTGTGGCTGAGGAGGGACAAGCTCTGGCTGGGCTTTTCCCACACCACGCTGGTCCTGTGCATCTTTAGTCACCTGCTGATAGAAATGGTCTGCATTATGCGTTCCAGGCCCAGATTGTCTGGGATGATTGGCAACTGTTTGCTGAGAAGCTGGGCAGTCTGAAAAGGATGAGCTATACATTCTTCCAGAATTTTCCAAAGTTCTGTTTAGAGTGAAGTCTAGGGCTCCAACTGTTTCTTCACGGTTAGTGCACTGATCTGCCTTCTCATTATTACTAGGTACCAATGTACTGCTTGCAGGCGGGACTAAGGTCACACCTGTGCTTCCAGCAAAGCTATTAAACTCAGGAGGAACTCCTGCTGCACTGTGATTCTGACTTTCTGCAAGAGGAGTCTTTGGAACCGGATAGGACAGTGACTGAGCCAACAAACAGGCAGGCTGGCTAGAAACCATTTCAGAAGACCCAGAACCACGAGGCACACTGCTGGGGGCAGTACTGTTAGACAGAGACAAGCCAGTGGCAGTATTAGCTGGGACACCAGATACTGCAGCACGGTCTCCAGAATCACCAGCAGGAGGCTGGCTGTTACTCCCTTTGGCATTATCCCCCACTATGGCATCTCCCCAAGACTGAGTCTTCTCGTTAGGACTCACTAAAGACACAGAAAAATGAACAGGCTGAGCCAAATTATAGCTTTGGTCAGGCTGGGCAATCAGAATGGGTTGATTCTGCAAAGATTCGGTCGGTGGTGAAGACAGCAAACTTGCATAACCAGAACTGGCCTGCGATGGAAGGGCCTCCTCTTCGCCCACCTCTGGGGGGTTCTCAAGGTTTTCCGAAGCACCAAGGCCATCTTGGTTCTGCAGAGGTGGGGCAGCACCTGGCTTCCGCAGCTGCTGCCCAGACACTCCCTTTGCCAGAGGCTGAACAACTTCTGGCGGCTGAGGTTTTGCAGGCACGTACAGCGCAGGGGCAGCTGGGGCTAACAGGACGTTGCCACCAAAATCTGGCAGTTCATTTTGTGCCCACAGAGTTGTTGCTGGGCTTTCACACTTCACGGCTCCCTGTGTCCTGACTGAGGGCCTCTTCTCAGGTGTTGGGCGCATAGTATCCAATGGTGGCCCTGTATGTGGAAGTGTGTGTCCAGCTTCTGCAGTGGTGGTATGTGGCGGCAGGGGGCAGGCCTGGGGTGCAGTGAGGGTCTCCATGTTGTCTGGTGGCTGCTCCAGGTTACCTGGAGAGGCATCAGGCATCCTGGCAGCTGCTCTGCGCTTCTTCTGCTGGTCACGGGTTCCCCTCACTTCAACCACCATGTTGGCACGATCTGCCTCGACTGGTTTTACCCCAACTAAGTGAGATTTTACTGGTTCAAAAGAACTATTTGCGCTTGTCTGAAATATCCCTGTAGGTTTGGGAGGACTTGGAGTTGAGGGCTGAGACAGGTTGCTGCGGTAATTCTGGCTCCCGGTAGTCTCATCTGTCTCCCCTCCCACTGGAGAAGAGTCAATTTGTTTAAAAAAACTGCCTGAAGAATCATCTTCGGGTTTTCCGATTTCCTGCTGAATAAACGTGCTCCCCAATTCTTGGGGCCGGGTTGACCCTGGAGGACTCCTGTGGCTGTGGCCGCTGTAGCTGGATGACACACTGTCAGACCGTGCAGGGTGCAGTGGCACTTCAGGGGCCTCGAGATGCAGTCCCCCACCTCTGGTGAGACCCACAGCACTAGGCCTGGGGGCACCTGGCCCAGGAGGGGCTCCGTATCGGAAATGTTCATTCGAAGAGGAAGAGTCCAAACTCAGGGGCTCACTTGGCAGAACCTCCTGATTTTGAACAAACTCTAAGTTTTCCACGTTCTCATACTGTGAGCCATGAGCACTGAGAGTCCCAGTGCTTGCTGCATCACCCCACATATCACCAGCAACGTTTCTAGCAGTTTGCTTATCATGCTGAATGCCGGTAGACGGAGAAAAATAAGGCTGTGCACCAACTTCCTGCAGTGCAGTCTCACTGTTGGAGCCCTTGAGAAAGGCCTGGTAGATACCACCAGCTCCGTGTGCGGGCGGGAGCGGATGGCCCAGTCCAGGACTAGAGGAGAAACTATCCAAGTCCATTCTGCCAGCAAAGCTTGCTTTTTCGGATGAGAGATTCTCCTCATTTTCTGCCTCCTCTCCTTGGAAAAACATTGAGAGAGATCCTGAGGATGCTTCTAGTGGAGCCCGGCTAGTCCCAGTCCCCAAGGGATAGTGCACCTGGTTTTCTGGGCTATTTCCCTGAGTGAGCAGATTCACAAGGGCAGGGTCTAGCAAATGCTTATTTACTTCTGGATTTTGCATGAACTCTTGGCTTGCCCACGGACTTCCGATTCTGGGATTTTGCCTGGATGTATGCTGAGGGAGAAAGTGTGTTCCACTTCGCAGGTGAGCCACCTCATTCCCTTCGCCCCCAGCCGAGGGTGCTGGGGGACACACCGTGGACGGAGAGGGGAAATGGGAATTGCTGGTGGCCTGGGGTCCCACACTCTGAACAAGTCCCTCTGGGGAGGGCAAACAGTGATGCCGGGGAGTCTGTGAGTCTCCCGGCGCTGGCGCCCACTGACCTGGCATCTGTTGACTAGGCTGGGAGAAGAAGGAAGATGCTGATGGGGCTGCTACACCGTCATGTGGGGTGTGTCTATTCAGAGGTCTGTCGGGCCCAGGCCCACTCTCAGGCAGATGTCTCCCATGAGATGGGTCAGGACCCACTCCTGGAATGTAGTGAAGAGGATATGGTGGATTTTGAATTTCAGGCCCCGAGACAGAACTGACCTCAGTGCTCCTACTCATCTCAGATCCAGGCAGCAATGAAGGGATGGATGCAGTAGGAAACGGACTGGCATCTGTTCTCGGGTGTGACATAGGTCCTGGCAGAGACTCATGGGGTCCTTGGGAGCTATCCCCAGCATTTGTGTGAGGTGCAGGCAAACCAGACCACTGAGAACACACTGGGAAGGCTGAGCCATGCAAAGCAGGCAGGCTGCTCTTGGACGAACTGCCCAAAGGTGTGTGTTGGCGCGTCTGTCTATTAAAAGCAAATGGATCTGTTACTGGCGGCAATGGGCAAGTTATCGGAGCTACTGGTGCATTATTACTGGCTGGCCTCCGGTAAGGACTGTTGCCACCCCAAAACATGCTCCGAGGATTCCCGGCCGGAGGGGGACCAGCCATGCTAGATGGGATTGCCTGGGGTGGCGGCTGCATGTCGGATCTTTCCCACAGGAGATGCTGCTTACAGAGGAGGCAAGGTAGAGCTTTTCCTTAACTTGAGCTGGAAAAAAAAAGAAAAATGATCAGAAAACCCATATTTACAGTCCTGACTATAATAAAGGAAACTATACGTGCATATAACTACATATACTCTCTCTCTCTCTCTTCCTCTCTCTCAAAATGGCACCTAGTCAAATTCTGAAAACATCTTTCCCCTGCTTCTGCCCTAGCAAAGAACCTTGGAGCTACTTCAGGAAGCTCTGGAAGGGGCTGGATGAGGCAAGGACACTGAGGGCTTGGTCACCAGTGGTCTGAGTGAGTGTCGACAGCCTGTCCCCTCTAGGACTTGTTATATAGCCTGCTTCTGGATCCTCCCCACCCCAGCAGAGACGGGAGCAATCCGACAACCATTCTGACACTACCAGAAAATGCCTGCTAGTCCTAACACTGCTCTGTAAACTACCACCAGGTCAAGAAGGAGCAACTGCACTACTGAGAGAAAAAAAATCTGGAGCTAGGCTCATGGCACAAGCGGCAGAGTGCTTTCTTAGCAAGGATGAGGTCCTGAACTCAAATCCTAGTACTACTGGATGGATGGATGGATGGATGGATGGATGGATGGATGGATGGATGGATGGATGGGATGGAAAAGCTGGTATGTGCTTATAATCTCAGCACCCTAGAGGCAGAGGCAGAGGATCATGAGTTCAAGACTGGCTAGTCCACATCAGTGGATTCCAGGCCATCACAGGCTTCATCGTGAGATCCTGTCTCAAAAAAAAAAATTCATTTCATACGCTTTGTGCATGTTAATTTTAAATCTAGAAAGAAAAACCCAAAACTTTAAACTTTGCTCTCCCCTTTTCTTTAGTGAAAAGATATTATGAAAAACAGTTGTGCTAGCTGGGTTCTGGTGACTCATGCCTATAATCCTAGCTACTCAGGAGGTTGAAATTTGAGGATTACAGTTCAAAGCCAGCCCAGGCAAGAAAGTCCATGAGACTATCTCCAATAAACCACCAGAAAACCAGAAGTGGCGCTGTGGCTCAAGTGGTAGAGCACTTGCCTTGAGCTGAAGACAGCGCCCAGGCCCACAGTTCAAGACCCACGACCAACAACAACAACAAATTATAAAAGTTACTAAACATGCTGGACACCTGTGGCTCACACCTGCAATCCTAGTTATTCAGGAGGCTGAGATCTGAGGACTGTGGTTTGAAGCCAGTCTGAACAGGAAAAGTCCATGAACCTCTTACCTCAAACTACTCAGAAAAAGCTGGAAGTGGCCCTGTGGTGTTAGTGGGTAGAGCACTACCCTTGAGAAAAGGAATCTCAGGGACAGTAGCCAGGCCCTGAGTTCAAGCCCCAGGACTGGTACACAAAAAAAGAAAAAGTTACTAAATGCCTATTTTTTTTGGCCAGTCCTGGGGCTTGAACTCAGGGCCGGGGCACTGTCCCTGAGTTTTTTTGCTCAAAGTTAGCACTGTACCACTTGAGCCACAGTGCCATTGGGGCTTTTTCTGTTTATGTGGTACTGAAAATCAAACCCAGGGCCTCATGCATGCTAGACAAGCACTCTACCACTATGCCACCTTCCCAGCCCCTTCTCTCATTTGTTTATGATCTAGTTTTCATCTGAAAGCAGTGAAACAAAGTTGCTTCTGACCACTGGAACTGTAACTAGGCTGGGAATAAAAACCCCAAAAATAAGTTACAGCAGGTTTACAACTATGGGGTGATTGCTTTTACAAACTACCAACAGAGATAAAGCTAAACTTTTCTAGAAAAAAAAAAAGAAGAAAAATCCTCACTGAAATGTTTTTGCTGCTCTTTGATTTTGAGTAAGACAAGATGAACAATTCTGACAAACTAATGTCCTTTGGAAGCAAAATTCAAGTTCTGCACCATGAAAATCCTTTTCTTGGCATCTGTCCTTCTCCCCAGCATCACTCCCATAAGCAGATGTTAAGCTAATCCAAGAGAAAACTGAATCAAAGGAAGAAATCCTAGGAGGTTTCTAGGGTTCGATCCACAGTTACCTTTTCTTTTTTTTCTTTTTTTTGGGGGGGGGTTGGGGGTCCGGTCGTGGGTCCTGAACTCTGGGCCTGGGTACTGTCCCTCAGCTCTTCAGCTCAAGGCTAGTGCTCTACCACTTGAGCCACAGTGCCACTTCTGGCTTTTTTTTTCTGCTTATGTAGTGCTGAGGAATCGAACCCAGGGCCTCATGCATGCAAGGCAAGCGCTCTACCACTGAGCCACCTTCCCAGCCCCACACTTATCTTTTCAGAAGTATGATGTTTATACCTTTGGAAATCTTTGATACATGGGTAAAAAGGAAACATTGACAGATGTATTTCTAAGTATGCCATTTGTAAATTTTGAAAGTTTCTAATCCTTACCTGAGCACTAATCCTTTGCATCTATGAATTTACTATTCTTACTGCCTCCACGTGTTCCTTTCTATGCTGACAGGGGACCCTTTCTAACTGACAAAGCGTCTTGAAACCCCACCTGAATTCAGTTAGGAATACCAGAGAGTTCACTTGGTATTCACTGTCATTTTTTAATTTAATTTTTGTATGTGTGCCAGTCCTGGGGCTTGAACTCAGGGCCTGAGCGCTGACCCTGAGATTCTTTTGCTCAAGGCTAGTGCTCTGCCACCTGAACCACAGCTCCACTTTTGGCTTCTTTTGCTAACTGGACATAAGAGTCTTATGAACTTTCCTGCCTGAGCTGACTTCAAACTATGATCCTCAGATCTCAACCTCCTGAGTTGCTGGGATTATAGGCATAAGGCACCAGTGCCCAACTTCACTGTCATTTTAAAAGCAAGGACAGTTCTAACTTCACCTCACATGGACCAAAGTAGAAGCAGCTCTTTCCCCCGTCTCCCGCCCCCATTTCTCCTATGAGCTTGGATTCTCCTCCATTTGTCCAACCAAGACACAGCAACTCCTTACATCTCCACGTCACCCTGAAACCAGGCTGCCAAGAAAAACAGGCCTCCTAGGTTATCTTCCAACACAAGACCCTTACCACTTTAAGCAGTTAAAAACAAAAACAAAATTTTAAAATCCATAACCCTACTGCACTGCTGGTGGGAATGTAAAGTAGTACAACCACTCTCGAAAGCAATCTGGAGGTTCCTCAAAAAACTAAACATAGAGTTTCCCTATGACCCAGCCATATCACTCCTAGGCATCTACTCTGAGCATCATGAACCAGCATATGATAAAGACACCTGCACATCCATGTTCACAATAGCCAAGATATGGAAACAATCCAAATGCCCCACAATAGATGAGTGGATCCAAAAATGTTGTACCTATACCCAATGGAGTTTTACACAGCAGGTAGAAAGAATAAAATAATGACATTTACAGGGAAATGGATGGTATTGGAACAGATCATGTTAAATGAGGTAAGCTAAGCTCAAAGAGACAAAGGATGCATATTCTGATAGCGGAGGTCAGCTCTAAAACGTACTGGGATATGTATGACAAATTACACAGGATTCTACATACTCATACACAGCAAAACCAAAAGAGGATAGTCTTGAGAGAGAATCACAAAAGTGCAATACCCAAGCACTTTTTTTTTTTTGGGTGGGCCATGGGGCTTGAACTCTGGGCTTGGGCGCTATCCCTCAGCTCTTCAGCACAAGGCAAGCTCTCTACCACTTGAGCCACAGCGCCACTTCCAGTTTTCTGGTGGCTTTTATTGGAGATAAGAATCTCACAGACTTTCCTACCCGGGCTGGCTTTGAACTGCGATCCACAGATCTCAGCCTCCTGAGTAGCTAGGATTACAGGCGTGAGCCACCAGCGCCCAGCTTCCATGAGAGTTCTATCTCCAATAAACCACCAGATAACTGGAAGTAGCGCTGTGGCTCAAGTGGTAGAGCACTCACCTTGAGCTGAAGAGCTCGAGGATAGTGTCCAGGCCCAGAATTCAAGCCCCAAGACTGACCCCCCCCCCAAAAAAAAGGGTGAACAGGTGTAGCAGAGGAGCACGCTGAACATTGATGAAAGTGAACTACACAAATCATGGGTGAAGATGGGAGGGAGGGAATGGGAGAGAATGAGGGCACAGAGGACACTGTAGGAAAAGAAATGTACTTATTACCTGAAGCATATAATAAACATAACCCCTCTGTGTATCACCTCTACAATAATAAACAAAAAACAAAAAATAAAATCCATAGCAGAGGCCTAGAGGGCAGATTCCGAGGTGTCACTGTGACAGCAGCTGTGCCTCTGGTGAAGCAGCTCAGGGCAGCCACGTCTCTCAGTGCAACTAGTATCTCCATTTTTAAAATGAGAAAGTCTGGCCGGGCGCTGGTAGCTCACCCCTGTAATCCTAGATACTCAGAGGAGGCTGAGATCTGAGGATCACCTTTCAAAGCCAGCCCGGGCAGGAAAAGTCCATGAGACTCATCTCCAATTAACCACCAGAAAACTGGAAGTGGCGCTGTGACTGAAGTGGTAGAGCACTTGCCTTGAGCTAAAGAGCTGAGGAACAGCACCCTGGCCCAGAGTTCAAGCCCCATGACTGGGGGGGGGGGGGGGGGAAGAAAGCAAGAAAGAGAGAGAGACAGAAAGGAAGGAAGGAAATAAATGAGAGTTTGGATGTTTCTTTTTTCCTCCTTCTGGGTGTAATCTTATGCGTGTCTACTCATGGTAGACTCTCAGAAGGCCTAATCCCTATTGCTGTTTAATACAAAAATTCTATCCAAATCTGAATTAGACATTTTATACTCTTTTTTGCAGAAATTTAAATTTTGTTTTCTCAACTCTAGTGAATTAAGAATTTTGTTGTTGTTTTGTCGGTCATGGGCTTGAATTCTGGGCCTGGGCACTGTCTCTCAGCCCTTCAGATCAAGGCTAGCGCTCTACCACTTGAGTCACAGCTCCACTTCCGGTTTTCTGGTGGTTAATTGGAGATAAGAGTCTCACAGACTTTCCTGCTTGAGCTGGCTTTGAACCTCGTGATCCTCAGATCTCAGCCTCTTGAGTAGATAGGATTACAGATGTGAGCCACCAGCACCCAGCTAGAACTGTTTTATAAGCAAACATCACCTACAAAGGAGCACTGCCAGCCCTTATCATCCACAATTGAGAGCCTTTTAGCAAATGTTCTAATTCCATTTGGAACAATCTTATGATCTGAACATTGCTCTTTTAATCTTCTTTACTCACCAACAGAAAACAATGAACTGTCTGATATTTATCCCAGGATTACAGGAATTTCTGTTCTGTTCAGTAAGCTCTCTTAACTTTCTAAAAAGCACCTGTTTCAGAGAGACCTGCTGATCTTCTAGAAGATGTATTATTCATGAACACTGCTCTTCAGCCAAACTGACTTTGTACTTATGCAAGACTTCTCCAAGTGTAAGTTCAAATGGCTGGGTATGGGATCAGAGGGTATTAGCTCTAGAGAGGACAAGGGAGTGATATTAATGAGCACACCGCAGGTAATGAGCACACCTCAGCCAGCAAACGCCTCTCACTGCCTCCAGCTGTGTGAGACAAAAGGAGTGCACCAGGAAGCTCAGTTACCCTCTGCCCACAACCTCTTCTTGGTGAGACCAGTGGCGCTCCAGCTACACGAGGGGCATCTGGCATAAACACGATAAACCCCACCTCTTCTAAGGTACGAATCTGAAGAAAGCACACAGGAGGTTGGAAGAGCCTAAACACTGCTAAAAATGAGGTAGTTCCACAAGGACACTCTGAAATTCATAAATGTTAACAGACGCAAGGAGGAATAATTTCAAAATCTGCATAGTGCTGGGCACAAGTGGCTCACACCAGTAATCCTGCCTACTCAGGAGGCTGAGATCTAAGGATCAAGGCTCAAAGCCAGCCTAGGCAGAAAGGTTGTTAAGACTAAGACTCTTATCTCCAATTAACCTGCAAAAAAGCTGAAAGTGGAGACGTGGCTCAAGTGGTAGAGTGCCAGCCTTGGGAGAAGCAAGAGATAGGCCTGAGTTAAAGCCATAGAACCAGCACACGCGTGCGTGCGCGCGCGCGCACACACACAATCTGCACGGTATCTCAGAAAATTTCCCTGACAAGTTGGAGATTCAGCGAGGTAAATCCCATGAGGGGTAACCAAGTCACAAGACCAAGGATGAATGCCTACTTCACCCCTTGTTTGTCTTGTGCAATACACTGGGCCAGAAACCTAGGGCAGAGGATGGAGAAGGACGGCAGGGAGGCTGCACGGCGCCGAAACGTGCGACAGCACGCTCAGGGACAGCTGTCGGTGGTTCCTCGCCGCCCTCCCTGGGGATGGCAACCGCGCCTCGGCTTAACCCGGCACCGCTCCGCCCACCTCGAGTCCGCAGGCCAAGCGGCCAGGGCCGGCTCGGCGGGCCGTGGGCTCGGGGCGCCGAGGCTGCACCGCAGCGTCCAGCTTCCCCTGACCGACCCTGGGGTCGGGCGCTGCCCGGGCCTCCTCACGACGTTCTCAGCACCGAGCCAAGAAGCGAGACACACCGAACTGCGGTTCCAACGCGGCCCCTCCGCGGCGTCGCTCCGGGAGGTCTCCGAGGCCGACGCCGCGGCCCCTGCACGCCGCCCGGAGCCTCCTCGGCGGTCCCCGCTCCACCAAGTCGCTGGCCTCTTCTGAGCGGGAGCGTCGCCGTCCGGCGCCGGCGCCTCCCCAGCGGCCGCCCGCCCGGGCCAGGGAGCGAGCCCGGGGCGGCGCCGGCCCCGACCGCACCCCGCGCCCGCGCCGGCCCCGCACGCGGAGGCCCTGGTCTGTCGCTCTCACCGGCCCCAGCGTCTCACCGAGACGCGCCGCCCGCTCGGGGCTGGGCCCGGTGCCCACCGCGCCCGTCCTGGCCGTCCGCGGCCTCGCCCCAGCGGCTGGCCGCCGCCCTCCTCCGCACGCTCGCCCCTCACCCGCGCGACTGCAGCCCGGCCCCTCAAGCGCCGCGGGCCACAGCCCACCCGGCGGCGGTGACGAGTGCAGACATGGCAGCCGCCGGAGCCATCTTGGCATATCCGGCTCCGGTCGTCGCCGCCGCCGACGTGTCCGCGACGACGTCAGCACGCGCTCCACCCTAGCACCGCCCCCTGCCGCCGTCCAATACTTCACCGCCCCATTTCCCCTGTCCCGCCCCCTAACACCCCGTCCCCACCCACGCGGGTCCTTGGCCGCCCCATCCCTTCGTCACGCCCTCTGACCCCGCCCCTTACCCAATCATTGGTGGCCTCGTCCCCCTGGCCACGCCCCTCAGGGGCTGTCCTTCACAGCCCCAGGGCCCCGCCCCTCGCGAGTAGGGCGCGCCTTTGCAGCCGGCGGGGGGGGGGGGCGTTGCCTAGGTTACGACGGCACCGCCTGCCACTCCTCCGTTTTGGGGATGTGAGAGGAGATAAGGATTTTAAAGCGAGATCCCAAGAGAGACTCAGTACGGAAAGACCGAAGCCAGTAGCTCCACCCACCAGAAATGGCCACTCCGCGGAGCCGAGCGCCCAAGCGGCCTTGCCTCCAGCGCGGTCCTCCTTTCCGTTGAGCTCGGTGGCAGGCCGGCGGGCCGAACGCGCTTGCGCCGCACCGCCCGCCTGGTGAGCGTCGACGTCAGGCCGCGCATGCGCCACGCCGCGCCGGTTACCTGGTTACTGCCTGCG